GAGTGGGGGAAGGGGTCCGAGGCTCGGGGCATGCGCCAGCCGGGGGGGGGGAATAAGGGTGAGCGCAGCAAGAGGCAAGTTGGTAGGAAATCGAGGAGGGGTGGAAGGCGCCGTGAGCCTCCCCGCGTACTGGGAACGTGCGCGTGCACCGGGGTGCACGCGTAAATGTGGGCGCGCAAAGTGTGAACCACGTGTGCATCCCTCGGGGCCGTGGAGCGTATTTGCCACTAATTCTGAGCGTGCGGGCGAGGTGCGCGCTTAGTTGATTGGTATGAAGACCCCCCTCCCCCCAGTCTTTCCGTTACTCTCTGGCACTAGCAAGTCAGGTAAGTGAGAGGGGGGTTTGCATGAGATCAGAGGGAGAGGAAAAGTGGTGCCTGCAGTTAGGGAGGTCAGACCATTCATGGGCAAGCCTGGGTTTATCATTTAATCCTGTCAACTACCTGCATCTAGGGTTGCCAGGTGTCCGGTTTTGAACCCGACTGTCAAATATTCTGTTCTGGAAACAAATTGAGAAAAGATAATTGTGCGGTATTGGAGATTCGGATGCAATGTCAAGTGTGTCCAGTATATTTGTTGAAACCATCCGGCAACCCTACATGTATCCTCCCCCATAGAGGCAGCATGGGAGGGGAGGCAGGAGCCAGGAGCCAGTATCATTACTCCCCTGCTGGCTACCCCACTGCTGGCTCCTCCCCCATAGGCTCTCAAGGCTCTCAAGCTTCCTCCCCCCCCACTGTCCCTGCTGCCACTGGGGGTTCCCAGGAGTTCCCCAGCAAGGGCCACCTGGCTGTTAACAGCCCTGCTACGTCTGGGAGTTCCTTGGGGTTCCCTGGCCAGCACAGCTCTGTTGCCATCAGGGTTTTCCTGGGGTTCCCTAGTCAGGGTGGCCATGGCCAATTTCCCTGCTGGAGCTGGGACTGCCTGACTGCTGCCTGGTCCTGCTGCTAGGTTCCCCAAGTGGTGCTTCCGTGCTGCTGCCTGGCCCTGCTGTCATTGGGGTTTCCCAGTCAGGGCTGCCTGGCCATCACAGATCCGCTGCTTTCCGGGGGGATCTCAGGATTCCCTGGCTGGGGTCGCCCAGCTGCCACCAATCCTGCTGCCAGGGGCTCTCCAGCCACCTGACCCTGCCAACACTGGGGTTCCCCTGCCTAGCTGCTGCTTGCCCAGCTGGGATTCCACAAACCCTTCATTCTCTCAGCTGGCTCCGGCTCCTGGGGCTCTTTGGTCCAGCAACATCCATTTTTACCCCGGGCTCTGCCACACACATCCTTTGTGATTTTGTATAAGTAATTGGGACCAGAATTAATCTCTGTGTCTTGATTCCCCCTCTATAAAATTAGGACAAGGCTGCTTCCCCATTTCACAGAGGTATTGTGAACATAAATTCAGTGATATTTGGGAAGCAAAAATCCCTCAAAAACCTGGATATGTCAAGGGAGAAATTCTTGGCAAGATATTTGAGAGGCCCAAATGTTCAGTAATCGGAGAGGTGTGGGAGACCTAGAGCTGTGTTGGAGATTTCTGGTAATAGGAGGAGGTATAGAGAGAGCAAAAGTTCAGGACCACTCTATTTCTGCTCTGTAGGGTTGGGCAAGCAGGGGTCAGAATGACGAAAGCGCTGTGCAAAAAGCAAGCGGGGGTAAGGCAAGGTCTGCCTTTCTTTCTAGTGAGCTCTATGTGATAGGGTGTTCTTGCGGTTATGGTGCCAGACAGAAACAAAGTAGATCAGGCCACAGCTGGTGGTCTGCCACAGACTTCCTGTCTGATCTCTGTGCCTCAAGTCATTATTTGTAAGGTGCGGTTATCGTATTTCCCTATCTCACGAGGGTATTTTGAGGACAAATTTTTTTACATTTTGCAGTACACAGATTCTACCAATGTACTCTTATGATAGCCACTCTCGAAAGTGTGTAAGAGAACCACCAGTGATACCTCACCTTTATCAGCCTGGTTCAATTCCTTTTTCTTCAGGAAAAAGAATATTTGGTTTTTTTTGTGTGAAAGCACATAAATACAAGGAGTTTAAGTCCTGAGCTCACCTGCCAATCTCTTTTGACTAATAGTTCAGCATTCCTCTAACAAGCAAAAGTGTACTGTTTGCTCAATATCAAATCCTAAATTTCCTAGCCATGAACGGAAAACACAACTCCTAGATTAATAATACCACTTAGTTTTTAACAAATATTTCCAGTTTGGTGCGTGTGTACTAAAGCTCTATGTAAATACTGGAGACTAAATCCTTTGTTATTCAGGGGAAATTCTAATCCCACCAGATGTTGATCATAAGAGACTCCTAATGAATGAGAACTGGTCGGAGCAGATGGTTTATACAATCAGATATTTTACTGAGATTTCCTGCTGCAGAGATTTATATTGTATTATTTTTAACTTTTATTCTATTAGATTTCCAGGGTAAATATAAAGACTAGGAAATAAACACACAATATTATCAAACTTGAATTAAAAGAAATAAATTATAAAAGAATGTCTTAGGTACATGAGAAAATATCAATTATGAGGCATTGAGGGGGATGGATTATAACTTGTGGGATTAAATATAGAGGAACCTCAGCACCCAGGTTGCTTTAAAGCTAAAACTGTAGCAATCAAACACAATTATCCATATTTCCGTCCCAGTAAACCGGATATATTACTCACTCATATTTATAGGCTCAAGTGCATTGACTTTTAAAAACTACTGGAAGAAATATTGTGTTTAGTACTGTATGTATTATCCATTTTCTTCACATGTAAACCCCCAATCAAGTCTTCAGTTACACCTATGCAAATATATTAAATTACATGGGGTTACAGAAATATAACCGGGGACAGAGCCTGGCTCAGAAGAGAAAAACAGAACATCAGTAGAAAAAGAGGCATGAAGACGACAAAGAATACAATATTAAAAAGTTATCTGTAGGAAATATAGACGCTGGAAAAACAGACTAATCGGAAAGATGAGAGAGGAGAGGTTTTGTTTAAAAAACAAAACTAGAAAAGGGAAATTCTAAATTTCACTGTTGTATGGTTTAATTCAAGTCTGAGATTAAAACTCAAGATTTATGTATATGATGCTTTTATTTAGGTACCAATGAGGGGATCTTGGGCTCATGTCTGTGAAATGATCTTTGTCTGCTGACTCATGCACCATTTTCAAAAGGGATATGGGCACACAGATTGTCTCACACCACTGAAGCAAAACACATGTTGACTGAGGCTTTTTTTGGCATGTATATGTGTGTGTGAACAGATAATGAGTACCAGTCACTGCTGTAATATCCTGTGGCTTCAGAGAATGGCCTCTCTAGGGCCCCCTTTGACTTTTTTGGTCCTGTAATGGTCCATTCCTGTCTATGTCTTTTGAGGTGTAGTTCTGTGGCCAGGCCACCTTTAAATTCATCCCCCTTCTTCAGTAACTAAAGCCTAGCTAAACAATAATAATTAAAAAAAACCCAACCACTTCAGCATGTCTTCTGGTCTCAGCTTTCACACCTTCTGGGCAACCTTTAATTCCTTCCCATTCTGATGTAGAGAGCTAATTCTCAGGCTTCCTCCCTAAAGTCGCCTTTTTCAATCTACGAATAACTGAAGGTCTTTGACTCTTCTTTACCCCTGCTCTCGCAGCCTTGCTGAGTTCCTCTTTGCTCTTTTTAACTGAGCACTGCTTCCCAGGCCTTGTTCCTGCAGGCTTTGTCCCTGATTGTCTCCCTCTCCAACTTCCTTCTTCTCACGGGCCCTATCTGAGGTTCTCCCACAGGACCC